CTGCTGAAGTGTGTATGTGTTTCACTGTGAAGAAGGCTAGGCTAAGAAGCTAACTGGAAATCACGTGCGCTGTAAACAAGCCTACTGAGTGGAGAAATATGCCGAGCCAAACAAGACGACTGTAAATGAGAGCTGCTGCTTTGTCAGACAAATTTAATTTAATTTGGAAGCCTTATCAACACAGACTGGCTTCATTCACTTCCTCCACTGCCGTATGCTAAAATAACTAGCAGACACTGCGCAGAAAATCAACGTTCTGTTCTCTGATTGGCCCGGACTAAAATTCTCCTGAAGAAATCCTTGTCTGTGGGAGAAGTCCCAGACAGAGCAGTGAAGGGGAACTAGAACTGAGCGGAACTGCGTAGGAAGGCAAGGGCCAGGCTAGGGATGCACGATATATCGGCATTAATATCACTATCGGTCCGATATGTAAAACTGGGCCGATATTAATGTCCGATAGTGATTTACCAATTTTTAGCTTTGTGTTTCTGTTTTGGAAGGGGAGATGGCTGGTTGAGCAGCATCTGTTTGATCATAATAGTGATACTGATGCTGCACAGCCAAGAATAACTGAAGGAGCCATGTCAGAGGTCTGGTCATTTATTTATGGTACCAAAAAAAGATTCAAGTGTGTTTGTGCGTATATGTATAATATAATTTGTGTGTTTGTGTAATATCAGTAAATATCGTTTATTGGCCATAACAGCAATAGTTATATCGGATATCGATCTCAGCTGAAATTTTCATATCGGTGCATCCGTAGAATGTAGGTAACAGCCACATGTTTCTGTAAAACATGGTTCACAAACAGAAGTAAATTATAAAGGCTGGAGCTTTTTTAAGAACGGCAACAAACCACTCAGGTCCTGACTGTGTTCAGACTAGCTTTTGGCTAGTATAAGTATGTTTTTCCCAGACTGACGTTGTTCAAAGAGCTATCTCCAACAGGTGAGATTATCACTCATCTTAATTTTTGCAGCAAACCTCACTGCAGAATAACGACTGTTTCTTTAACATGTTGAGACTCACATGACAGCTGGTCAGCACCATCATATAAAACAGGTTTCTCCTCAGCCAGGGTTGTTTTCTTAACATCAWACTTTCATTTCTTACTAATGAGTTTAATTAAAGTAAATCTTTAACAAATGAAAAAAAAAACTTTTCTTTTTCTTTCAGAAATTGAAAGAGGAGGTWGTCACCTTACTCTGGGGATATACTACAAGCAAGGTTTGTGTCATCATCATCTGTTGTCAGTCTCACTGACCTGTTTGGTTTTTGTTTTTCATATTTTAACAGATCAGGCGTCTCATTTATAAAGGATTGCGTGGAAACCATACTAAAAGTGAACATACAGACAAAAAAGAGAAAATGGCGTACACCAAAAATAATTCTGATTTATAAAACCGTGCGTACGCATGTTTCTGTGAACCTTGCCTTTTTAGATCACAGCTTCACCTCAGAGTTTGTGGACAAGGTCCCGCCTCAGATTCTACCCTCTACACGCCCACACTCAACCATAAACDGTCAATGTAAAGTACCTCATGAATGTTAAGATGTATTTAAATCAGTCAGCTGATCAATG